AATACAACCCACACATTTTACATACTTTACTCTTTTCTTGCTGTTTTCTGCTTGCTTCAGTTGATGTCCAGCTGAAAGCTTTGCAGCTCTCACACCCAGATTACTAATGCTGACACATGCCTTATCACATTCAGGTCTGAGAAGACCTTTAATCATTGTTGTAGCATTTATAACTATGGAAAACAAAACAATCTCTTTGGACTCAAATTCCTGTTTTGAGGGAGGAGATTAAGACAATATACTCATGCACCCCAGTTTTGAAATGGAACTTAGCAATGTGGTCACTAAAGGGTCATGTAAAATATGAACATTCTACAGTTAATGGAAAACTGAGCTTCCCCTTTTGGAAAGAAATTTCTGGATTTTCCTTTAGTGCTGGAAAACATGACATCATACAGCTATACAGCCCACTACATTCCTTGCATAACTTTACATATCAGTAATGACATCAGTTCAAGTTTAGGCAAGTGAACAAAAGAGGATTGGTTGTAAAAAGGCTTTTGATATAAAACATTATTTTCTCTAGTTATTTGATCACATTGCCTGAGTAGAGTAAGTTATTTTCTTAAATTAATATCATATTTCCATGAAATAAATCCTGTTTTGTAATAATATCGTAATTGTTGATAGATTTCTTGAAATAAAATGGCATAGTCGGATGGATAAAACACTGGACTGAGATTCAGAATATGAAGACTCTCATAACGAAACTAGCATTAAGTGTGTGACCTAGTTAAAATCTTTTAACTCTTCTCGTTCCTGCTTATTTTGCATAAATACTCCTTATTTTGCATAAATAAATACTACTAGTTTCTTTCCAAATTATAAGGTTATATATAGTAAAATCCGGATATAGGAAAATGTGCTACCTGCAAATTGTTTTAGCTTTTTGAAAGAAAGAGGCATAGGCATCTCGCTCTTAAGATGTTTTTCAATGTATAGAGACGATTTTAATGTAATTTTAGTATTGACTAAGTGAAAAATATGATTTCCCTATTTTTTAAGGTAGAAAAAAAATCCCTAAATTCATGCATGTGAGTATAAATTACATGAAATTTTACTTAAATTTTAAAATGTCTATGAAATTCTAATACAGAGAAGGGTGAACTGTTTATATTAAGTTACCTGCATCAGAAACATGAAAATAAGAATAAGAATAAAAGATAGGGAGCTATAGCATATATATTTTTTTTAATTTCAAGAGATTTGTCAACCAACTTTTTTTGTTGTTGTTAACAACTAAGATGGGGGGGGCAGTGAAGAAAAATATAAGCATTTGGAGATAGCTAGAGGGAACTGTTACACTGATAAATTCTAAAAAGGCCAAATTTGGATTTTCTAGGACTAATGATTTTTAAAAATTATAAGCCTAGCAGAACTTAAGGTGTGATATACATTATTGTCCTAAAGCAATGTAAAACAATATATGGGTGGACGGTAATAAGACAGTAGATAATATTTCACTTCCATTATGGCAGGCTTATTGTAAAACATTAAGTAGGAATAGGGATTACCAGGTTTCCTTCTACCACTTTAGATACACCTCGTAACCTTGCTGTGTCTTCATTTCCACATATACCGCGTGCTCTATTGCTCCATTTACTCACCTACTACCCACTCTTCTACCAGTCTGGCTTTTCTCTTTCACATGACGGAAAAATAGCTCTCTGTATGGCTAATATCTCTTCTGTAATCATGAAATGAAAGAATGTCAAGGACAGGATGGTTGGTTCTCCAATATCTATTTCATACTAGATTATTATCTGAGCCAATCATGATTGTTTCTTCCTCCTGGCCAATGATTTGTTCAGCAATGTCCAATGCTGGGAAGCTTCTGAGGGGAAAAAAATGTCCTTTCAACTAAGAGGACACCTCAAGAAGAAATGCTCTTCATCTGGAATTGATGCATGGAACTGTCACCGCTTGAGGCTGGTCTACTTAGAAGAGCTGGCAGATAGAAAGTGCTTGATGCTTGAACCAATGTGTATATAGTACTACACAAGCAGTATCGGGAATTACCAAATAGAGAAGCCATGATTTTCTCAAGAATCATACTGTCTGCATCCAGTCTAGTTGGTAATATACAAGTAGATAGGAAAAGAAGATACAAAATCATTACCAATAGGTATTCATTAGAGCAGGGTGTATTTATCGAGGCAAGATTTTAGAAAGCCAATCTTAAGGAGAGGTTAGTTTTAGATTAGTACAATAAGGAGTGGAAGTTACAATATTTCAGGAAGGGGGATTTATTCTGAGCTAGTAAATGGAGGAAAGACAAAATTTGGTAGTGAGTTAGAAGAGCTAGAAAATGAGTTTGATGCGGCTTATAGTTTATAGCTGGGTCTATTAAACTGGAAACAGGCAGATTAACAGGAGAGAAGGCATGCAAATTTATTGAGTTTTAATATGTGCATGGGGCACCACAGCAAAAAAAAAAAAAAGTGAATACACAAAAAAGTAGAGAAATTTAGGAGTTTTATATATCATCTAATAGGAGGAGGGGAGGAGGGACATAGGCCACTTAATTTGGAATAAATGATTTTAGGAAAGATGAATGGGCCCTTAGAAAAACCGATGAGAAATATGATAGTTTATGACAAAGTCTGTCTGGGTGTGGTGTCCACTTGTAGTCTCCTCTTGTGTGATTAAAGTCAGACTTTCTGAGCTGATGAAACTCATGGGGAGGGAACCTATGACAACTGAGTTTCTTTTGGAAACTCTGTTTTTAAACAGAAAATGAGAGTTCAGAGAAAGCCTCTCCCTGCATTAGCTGTTTTTCAGCTGCCTTTTAGCTCAAAATAATTCTTATACCAAAGAAGCATATTATAGGGTGGCATATTCTGTCACCCTTCACAGCTATAAGGAAAATATCAGGCTGGAAAGTTCTCTACTACAAAAACATGTTGTCTTTATGTTATCTGGTCATTTCACTGCTTAGAAGGAATGTATTTGTGAAGGATTTTATATCAGAAGGCACAATAATAAGGGTCCTTAATAAAATCAATACAAGTGTATTTTGTAGTTAATCAATTCTATTTTCATCCCTTGAATGAGAAACCTTGTAGATGGTTTTTCATTCTAATTTTCATTCTAATATCCAACCTTCCCACATACCCTCATTCTCTTTAGAGTTTTCTGTCTTTGATTGGGATGACAATTGGCTCTAAGGAGATTACAATTTCACCTACAATGAAATGGAAAATCTTATTACCAGTCCCCAACTCCCTGCAGCTGTGATATTGGAGCTAATAAGCCCATGAGAAGCAATTTTAAAAATCTATGTCATCTCCTGCAACTTTGGGAGATTTAACTGATTGATTTTCATTTTTTTTCTTTAATATTTTGTACTCTGATAAGGCTATATCAATTCATAGTATTTTTAAATTTTTCCTAAATTTCTTAATATCAGTTATATCTCATCTATAGTGGTTGTACCTTATCAGGAGGTTGTAGGATAGTTAACTCAGAACAGAATTGCTGGATAGGTAAGAGCTAGAATTTCAAAACAAAGCCATGCCCAATACATCTAAATTTACTTCATATAAATTAATATCATTTATGAAATTGACACTTTTATCATATAAATACAGGATAGAATGTGCTATATGCTCCAAGTATAATTTTACTTTTCCTTGTGATTTTCATGGATTATTATTATTTTTTGTATTGCAAAATGATTATATGATAAGACTTCATGGGTGTTAAAACAAACCCAAACAAACAATAAGCAACTATACATTTTCCACTTGGCTTCCAAGTGTGGTTATTTTTTAAGTGTTCTCAAGCAACTACCAATTTAATCAAGATCCATTGTTCAAAGTTAATTGAAATAGAAAAATAGGGCAATTTTTCCCCTTTGTGATAGTTTACAGCCTTTCATATATACATATGAAAGAATTGTATTTTATAGCTCTGTAGAGTATTTTTCTTAATTGACCTGATAATAGAAAAACATCTTTTACCAATTTCCATGGTCAACCTCAAGAATAAAAATAGCCAGTTATTTTATTGGCGGATGAGTTTATTCGGGAATAAGCAGAGAATTGCAATTTGAGACAAGCAAGAGATGGTAAACCATAGGCAAGGTGGAAGAGTCAAAGGAAAGGTTAGCTTTTCTGAGGTTTCAGGAGGAAATTGGGGAGGGTTGTTCATTGGAGAAGGAAATGATTTCGAGGGTGTGGTAGATTTTCATCAGCTGCAAGGGATGGGTAGTGCTGTTGCTGGGGCAGGGAGGGATCCTTCTTCCTTTTTTTAAAAGCAGGAGATAAAATTCTTATGTGACAAAAGTTCTCACTTGTTGAAATAATTATCTTCCTTTTTCCTGCTTGTTTTCTGGCTGCGATGAGTAGTACTTTCATGAGAGCTCCCCCTACAGGGCTCCATTTTAAATGAGAGTTCCTTAGTAGTATGCTCATTTTTACCTCCCCCCATCCCCAAACATGTTTAATTCAGTAACATTCATTGTGTATTTCTTGGGCAACATCATTTTATAAATGTCAGCATGACTGTTTTTGAAGTCTTAGACTATCTCTCTAGCCATATCATCTTATAATATTCATATATTCATTTGCTTAGTCAGAAGGTTAATATACATTATTCAAAACTTTTTTTTTTTTTTTAGCTGTTTTCTCATTGTCTGCACTCCTTTTGTGCTTGTCTAGATTTTGATTGCAGCTTACTTCAGGACAAGTAAGATGTCTGCTTAATTTTATTTTTAAAAAAGTAACTTGGAGCATTTAGACAGTGTTTCATGCATTAGGTAAAATGAACTGCTAAAATATTTTTTGTTTTTTATTTTTTATGACAAATATATTTTGGACTTTGACAATTGGACGTTGACAATGCATACTACTTTTCATTTACTTCTATTTAGAAATGTCGTGCTATAATTGTAGATGTGTCTCAAAAAGCAGTCTTTTCTCCAGTAAAAATTACCCATTCTTGTTGCTTGCTATTTCTAAATACTTATCAAGGTTCTATTTTGTTCTTTTCTCTTATAGCCAGCAATCAGCAGAGGACCTCGCCCGAGTGCCTGCCAACTCCACTAGCAATATCTTGAATAGGCTATTGGTCAGTTATGATCCCAGGATAAGACCAAATTTCAAAGGTTTGTTTTTTTTTCCCCCAAATATCTTCATTCTTTGCAGTTTAAAATTAATTTTGTTTTCTGAAATCATTTATTTTTAATATTTAAAGTAGTAAGATTTTACATTGACATGTAACTGTTCTGTAATATACTTAGATTCAGAGCAATTTAATGCCAAAAATGCTCAAACATGAGCAAAATATTAATTCGAATAGTTTTATATGGTTCCCAGCTTTTTTTTTTTTTAAGGGTATGTTGTGAATTAATAGCTAACTTCTGTAATGGGTTTTGTGAGCACTTAGTATTCTTAACACTAGTGATTTAAAATTTAGGTTCTGCATACAGAGCTGGCTTTATTCACTGATACCAAGGTTATAGTTTGTCGGAGAGTGGCCATATACTCACTTAGGGACAAACTACAGTTCTGATATGTATTTAGATTCTTTTTTTACTTTTTAAAAGCCTTTACATTGATTAAAAATTTCCTCTACTCTTCAGCTGAAAAAAAGATAGCTATATAGATTTTAAAAACATTTTGTGAATAAAAGTGACAATGTTTTCTACAACATTGATTGTTTTTACTCCAATAAAATACTATAGTTTATCGCACTTTTAAAGAACAAAATTCATACTTGCAGTAAGAGTCATGAGATTGTATAGTTGTGAAAACTTTCCTTTCCTTTTTTTTTTTTTTTCCTTTTTCTTTCTTTCTTTTTTGGTCCCTGGATGAATTAGGAAAAGCTGCATGAAAAAATCTTCTCTGGAAAACTGTAATCCTAAAGACAGGTATTAATGTAGATCAGATTAACATTATAAAGCTTTATTTCTTTTTCCTTAACAGAAAAAAAATAGTCTGCAGCTGCTTCTAGTCAACTGAAGTTATACAACTATGTTATAAAAACAGGGGTTTTTGTTCATTACCAGAACCTATTCAGTTACTTTCAACAACAGCCATGGTCTGGATTGTCACATGTCTACCATATATTGATTCACCACCTGTTTTTCATCAGTCAGGGTTATGTGGCTGAAAGGCTAAATTCACATTTTCCCTTTGTTAGCCCAACCAGCAGCCCACAATGAGTAAAAAAAAAGAAAGAAAAGAGAAGAACTTTGCAACATTATACCCTAGTTCTCACTCCATGAACTTTCAAATTATTTTCCAAAAGGTCAGGCAAAAATCTTTATAATGACTCTGTTATATGTCTAACTTTGCATTTTCGTGAATTGAAAATAAAAATGTAATAGTTGTAAGTACAATTTATTGAATACTGCTTGATCAATTAAAGTATGAATTTGGGATGATTATAAAAATGCAAAAAATTAAACCTTATTTTTTTAAATAATGTTTTTTAAAGAATAACTTACATTTTCTTTAATTAGAGTCATCTGCCAATTTAAAAATTTTTGAAAGGTAAACCTATTTTTCAGAGTTTTTACAATTTAAGAGATAAATATATCTGAATAAATAACATAAACTACTACTCAACTTGTTTCTGATTTGTGTTATGATCTCTATTTAGAAAAATAAGTTAATAGCATTGTGAACATGGTGTACTGAGACCACTGATTTCTAATATTACATCCCATGTAGACTAGGAAAAAATATGAAATCAAATACATAAACCATTAAATATGAAGATTTTGACCAAGTTTTTTTACACCTACTAAATATATACTCGATTTTTATTTACAGGTATTCCTGTTGATGTAGTAGTCAACATTTTTATCAACAGTTTTGGATCCATTCAAGAGACAACGATGGTAATATTATAATTTAATATTTTAATTATCAAAATTTAGACTAGAGCATAGTGAATGTAATACTAAAACTAAAAAGTACCTAGTAACTCTAAGGAAAAATGCATATTCTCTTCTAGTATAAAATAACCCAATTCCAAGATTCTGTTAAATCAGTGCCTATGTAATTTTGTAATTCAAATTTAGCCTTAATACTGCATTAAAACTTACAAATTTAGAATTACTATACTCACTCTGAACGATTAATTGGATACCACTTGGGGATAGGATTCATGCAATTAATACTCTAGAGCAAAACATTTTTCCTAATATGCTTGTATGTATGAGTATTAAAAATATTTAAGCATTCACCATTCTTTTTCCTTCCAGTTTCCAGAGAAGAATCTTTGTTTTCTCTGTGGTGCTAATTTCATCATGTGTGGAGCAGAGAATTGTAAAAAGAAAAACTGATTTTCATAAAATATGGCCATGGATTTCCCCCAAAAGATTATGTAACCAGGGGAAAGAGCAAGGAAAGGCAAAGGAGGGGTGGGAAGACAGTGACAGGCTGGCTCCTGTCTTGAAGGAACAGAAAAGAAAGGTTTCAGAGAGTAGATGCTATCCTTGATGAGTTTGACTTTAGGGACAAAGTATGATTAGATTTCCTGAGTGATGTGTGATGTAATTACCTTCAGATCAAAAGACATTCAATAAAGTCTACTTGCTTTTTAATGTTTTACAATATAAATGTGTGCCCTTTTTTGAAAAACCACATGCTGAAATGATACTTCAGATACATCAGGCGGGAGAAAGAAGGCCCAAGTGTTTTGTTGTTTTTGTTGTTGTTGTTTTGAGACACTTGTATTTTTCTAAAGTAAGATAAGATTTGGATTCAAAGCCTAATAATAATGGTTAGAGCGCAGTACAGTTATTCAGGAAATACCTTGGACAAGAGAAAGAATGACTGAAACTAGTCCTTTATTCCTAATAGCAGAAGTGTGCTACAAAAACAATTGTATATTGCATTTAAATTGTGATGCTTATTTTTATCTCTAATTGTGATGAGAATGTTATCTTATTTATTTTTTATAGAAGTATGCATTTAGACTTGACTTTGAATATTTTCTTAGACAATGTATAAGTATTTTTAGAGAATTATTTAAAAGAAGATTTCAGAATCAAGTCCAAAATGCACTTCCAGTGATTTTTTTTAGTTCATTTAAATAACATAGACATACAATGCAGATCAGTAGAAGACAGCTTTGAAATATGATATAGATTACTATATGTCACTCGGGAGGCAAGCGTAGCACTCATGAATTGAAAATATAATTAGTCTATCAAAGCACTTCACTTTGCAAGAGTAAGCGATGTCATTTTCTCAAGGTGAAACTGTAAAGGTGGTTGTTTTGGTTTCTACACTCTTCTCTACGCCCTATTTTATCTTTCATGGCACCACTACACCAATCCTAAAACACCACTAGCAAGATGTTATAGTCAGTTGGAAACATCTCCAACTCTGTTTTGCATTTGAAGACAACTAATGCAAGGATTTTTTTTCTCATTTTTGTAAAGGCTACACATGTGTCATAGTTCTGTACAGATTATTAATGTATCTGTTCTTTAATAAGTATTGAATGCCTTTTAAATATAGACACCTAAACTTCTCTAGGTCCCATCAGGAGTAACTTGGTTACATCAAGTTGAAAACACAGGGAAATAGGGGTGTTAGAAAAAGGGAGAACTTTTTTATAGATTAGTTCTATAAAAAAGGAGTATAATAAAATATTTTATAATTTCTAATATATCTTCGATTGTTCTCCTGAACAGACTCATCACAGTACTAGCCCAAAGTATTTATTGCTGGGACCAGATTCAACCAATTCTCATATGGAGTCTTTGCCCCTTTTATTTATCCCTGATCTCAACCTCTTGTATTCTAATCAGAGCCTTTTATGGCTATTCTGACACACTTTATGCCCCCTTTTCAATCCAGGTCGTTCATCTCATCAGTTATTTGTTAATAAAATCTGATAGCTTCTTCATAGTAATTATAATACTTTCTATTCTTTCTATTCTCAATGAACTATAAATCTCTTAAAGTCAGGAATAATTTATTCTGTTTCTTCGTTTTCCATAAAATACAGAAGACCGTAGACACTCAATAAATGGTGAACATAAATAAATTATTATATTAGCTAATATTGATTAAATAAATGAACAAATAAATTTCCTATTTGCTTAGCACAAAGTGAGTTAAAGTAGCCATAAAAGAGTTGGCAGAAAAAAATGTAAACACTAGATTCATGTTGAACATATATTTGGTTAAATAAGAGACTGAATAATGTTATTATTGTAATCTTAATTTTTGAAATTTTAGACATCTTTATCCAGCAGAGTCAGATCATTTGTATTTGCTGTTTCTTTTGCTGAAATAATCTGGATAAAAACCAATCTGCCTTTCTCTTTGTGTTGTGCAGCCACAGTCTAAAAGTTCAGAGTCAGAGCCACACTCAACAAATAGACTTAAATATTCCACTTTGTCAAAGTATTAGTCTTTGCTTTCTGCAATGTTTATTTCATACATCCTTACAGAACAAGATTTTATATATGTGTCTTTTGAGGCTGCTATATTTTATAGATTTGCTCAATCTTTTCAAAAACAAATGCCCTGATAACTTGTTGCTTAATAGGAAAGTCATAAGCTATTATAGATATGTAGATAACATTAAAATGTCATCTAAGGAAAAGAAAATAGATCTGAGATAAACCTCATTCTTTATTACCTGTTACAAATACTGGTCAGTTGCATAGGAAGGCAACTGAAAAGGTGTACGTGTATAGATAAGAGTTATATCATGAGAAAATATTTCTTTTCTCTTTTTTCCAATCACCTAGGGTGAGCTTAATTATTTTCCCCTCAGATGATTGAGGTATAATTGATAAAAAAGTTGTAAGATATTTAAAGTGTATGTGATGATTTGATATACATCTACATTGTGAATTTCCTCCCATCAAGTTGACAAATCCATCACCTCATATATTTATGATTTTTTTGTGTGAGATCATTTAAATTCTACTCACTTAGCCAATTTCAGTTATACAATACAGTGTTATCAACTATAGTCACCATGATATACATTAGATCCTCAGACCTAATTCATCTTATAACTGAAAATTTGTACCCTTGTACCAACCTCTCCCTATTTCCCATATCCCTAAGTCCCCGACAACCACTTTGCTAATGTTTCTATGAATTTGACTTTTTTTTCTTTTTTTAAGATTCCACATATAAATAGTACCATAACATATGTCTTTCTCTATATGGCTTATTTTATTTAGCATATCTTCCAGATTCATCGATATTGTTGCAAATGATAGAATTTCCTTCTTTTTAAGGCCTGATAATGTTCCATTATATAAATACACTGTATTTTCTTGATTCATTCATCTGTTGATAGACACTTAGGTTGTTTCCATACTTCGCTATTGTGAATAATGCTGCAGTGAATATGGGAATACAGGTATCTCTTCTAGATAACGTTTTTGGTTCCTTTGGATATATACTCTGAAATGGATTGTTGGATCATATGGTAATTATATTTTTAATTTTTTGAGGAGCGCAGTACAGTTATTCAGGAAATACCTTGGACAAGAGAAAGAATGACTGAAACTAGTCCTTTATTCCTAATAGCAGAAGTGTGCTACAAAAACAATTGTATATTGCATTTAAATTGTGATGCTTATTTTTATCTCTAATTGTGATGAGAATGTTATCTTATTTATTTTTTATAGAAGTATGCATTTAGACTTTGAATAATTGATTTTCTTAGACAATGTATAAGTATTTTTAGAGAATTATTTAAAAGAAGATTTCAGAATCAAGTCCAAAATGCACTTCCAGTGATTTTTTTTATTGTACCAGTTTTTATTCCCACCAATAGTGTACAGTGATTCCCTTTTCTCTATATCCTCACCAGCATTTGTTATATCTTGTCTTTTAGAAGATAGCCAGAGAGCATAATTTTTAAGAGCAAAACAAAAAGCCTCCCAAAACAACAGTTTGGGAAAACAGAGAGCAATAGATTTGTCTAAATACAAGATATGTATTCATGAAAACAATATTGTGGACAGTGTGTGAGTCATGACATTAGAGAGGCTTGTGCGTGAATTGTATATTTGATGTGCTATGCTGTAAAAAGAGTGAAAAAATTACAGCTCTCAGTTATAGTGACTTTGGTTTTCATGTGTTTGCAAATTAATGTAATATTTCACAATGGAATCTCATCCCAAAGAAAATGCTAAAGAAAATGAACCATGTATAAGTTTGTTAGTAGCCCCATAATACAGTTGTGGTTTTGTTTATTAATAGCCTACTAGAATTTTCCCTTACAAAGATCTGCTGAAATAAAGAAAGTCCTAAAATCTAGGAAGCTTCATTATTGCCCGACACTTTCCTCTTCAGTTCAAGCCTGCTTACCTCAACTGGCAGTTGATTATTCCAGAAAGTATAATGTAAAACTCAGAGCTTGGGGGTGGATGTAACATGAACAGCTGCAAGTCCAGTGGCAGACAGACGCAGGGCAGCTTCTGAAGGGAGAGGACAACCTATTCCTCCAGCGCATAAGGCTGATTATCAAACCAAGACGCATTCAAGGGTATAGGCATTAGCATCGCTGTCAGGGAATTTTAACAGATTCTGCTTGGAAAACATTCCTTCCTGCTTATTTATTTTTTAAATTCAGATGCTAACTATTGCTGGCTAAACTAAAACTAATCTCGCATTTATTCACAAACTATAATTGTATAGTGGAGGAAAACTGGTAGCCATGTTTATATTCCTTAAGCTCTTTCACATCTCTGTGGTTCTATGTTCCTTCAGCTTGTTTTATGATCTCATTTTATAGCTTTATAATTCCTATTTCTTTTATCTGTGTATTCATTTGCATTCTGCTACCTTACCTTTTTGTAAGGTATCATTATTAAGACTGTAAGTGGTATTTACTGACATTAATAGCATCACC